TGCTGCTGCTGCTACTACCACCACTAGTACCACTACTGCCACTGTATCTAGTATACTATGCTGTCGAAAAAAGTCTACGAGGGCCTGATGCCACAGCTATTTCTTCACAAATCCCTGCTCGGGCCAGTACCGTCGAAGGAAGACAGACGAGTGTGTATCAACTGGCAAAACGAAAAGTACCAACCACCAAGAAGGGTACAGCGAGATTCCAGGGATCACCTCTGTTAGTTTAAAGCGATGTCTGTGTTTCGGCAGTTCAGAAACAGTGGTTTTCAATCCCTCCATGGGTGGAGGGGAGCACATAAAGCTGCACGAAAGGGACTTGGAGACGATGAAAGATACTGCTGGGCAGGTGCCTCCTTCGGCAACGACAGCACCGCGCCCTGGACGAGCTCCATGGTCGAGGACGAGAGTGAAGAGAGTGTTCCGGTTGTTTGGGTCCTTCGTGCTGATCAGAAAGGTTCAAGCCTGTCTGTAAGAAGGTTTCGAGGTGGCAGACTTGCAGAATTGTACAGACGACGTGACGACGATTGAAAGATCTTGAAAGTTCGGAAGCCACGTCTTCATGCTTCAGGCCCAATGATGGGAAGGGGCTCTGAGACTGGTCCGTTTTTTCTGCTCAGGACACAGGGCCTGCGCCGTTGAAGCCTGGTGCACCGAAAAAGGGCATGGCCCGAAGCCTAACAGACTCACTTGATTCGCTTGAGGCAGACTCTGGCACAGAACCTAAGATTTGACCACTGCTGGTGTCAACGTGTCTACCGTTTTATTAGCAGCATCCGGCCGTGCGAAACGAAAACGACGGTGCAGGCCAGGATTGACTGTGTCGGTGTCAAGAAGAGCCGAGAAAGACTCAAGGGTCTTGTATCGCTCAGGCGCTGGGCAAGAAAAAGAATGCAGATGTGCTTGGCAGCCTGGGCCCTGTCTGCCTTGTTCGGAAGGCTTGGCCGATCTTGCCCAACCCGAGGCATGGGCATTCCGGAGCCCACACCGTCTCCGGAGGCTGCCGGTTAAGATCAGGGGCTCTGGGGAGACGGCACAGCATCACATCTCAGGGCCTTCTGATGGCTTCAGCAATTGGGCCTTTTCTCTTCTGCCCACGGGCTTTGGCTAGGCCGTTGCTGAAGAGCCTGCAGCTGCGAACTCAGTCAGCTTTCAGGGATCTTCAGGGTCTTGCAGGATACTCTGCCTGTCGCGTGCCACCGCTAAGCCGGTAAGCAGACCCCGATCCTCGAAACGTCGCGTTTCAGGCTGCTCCGGCATACAATCCTTTGCCGCAGCCCTAGCAAAACATGTCTCTGTTTCGGAGGAGAGGCGAGGGCCGTGGGCTGCGTCGAGGAAACAGTCCAGTCACTCCTCGGATCCCGATTGCGAGAGTCCCGGAAGATCTGGAAATGTAGTGTTTGAGGATGGATCCCGTTAGAGTGGACATCGAGGCATCGTGGGAAGGGGGCGCGCCGATGTTGAGCACAATTCAATGGATTACAGCCCCGGTTTAGTTCGGGTTCGACGAAAGTCTACACTCCACTAAAGTTGCCGCTCCTTTAGCGGCTGAGATGTCTGCACCAACGCTCCGCAGCTGCAGGAGAAAATTACCGCGGACCTACAAGTGGAGGGCGGGTGCGCCTTGAGCAATGAAGACCTTGCATGCAGATTGATGAGGATTAGCTGCATCTTTCTGCGAAAGCACCAGCGGCAGAGACGGAAGTTAGAATCTGATAACTAAGCCACAAAGACCATCCAAGAACCAGGTTGGAAGGTGAAGCTGTTTGCACCGGCCAGTTCCAGGCAGTCACGGCCGGGCTTTCAACGGTATTCTGGAAGTGTTGGGTCGACAGTTTCGGTCCTTGTGGTCCGGAGCCTGGAGCCTTTGCTGTCGGACCCGATTTTGGGCAGGTGACGGTGCTCGACGCCTCCAAGGCAGACCTCGCTGCCTTCAGGCGCTGTGTGCTATGCCTGCGGTCCTTCGGGCTTGCTGCTGTGTGCATGAGAGCCTTCGGTTTTAGCTTCGATCAAGGTAACCATTGCAGACAGCAGGTTAGTTGAATCCCGTGCATGGCGTGGATTTCCTGCACGCTTGAGTTGGTGGACGCTGGAGTGGCGTGTTTTGCTTCCTGCAAGTTTGGACTTGATGCACCCCGGTCTGCGAGGTTGGCCCCGCAGAACCAGGAGTTCAGGTACAAGGCTGGTGCGCTTGCAATGTTCGGCAGAGAGCCTTAGCAACGGCTTTCTGCGCATGTTTCGTTGCTTCTACTGCGCATCCTTCTCCTGAAAAGTATTTTGCAGATTTCTCTGCCAAAACATCGCTTCTCGATAGTCTCGAAGAGAGCTAGTGCTTCTTGGGGGGAAAGGTCTGAGAGTTAAGTGCTGGAACATTCCAGAGTTCTGAAAATTGAATGTTACCTCCTGCTGGCAGATTCACCCGAACCTGAACAAGACGTGTTTGCCTCAGGATGCATTAAGTGTAACTTGATGTAGATTGGCTTCAGTCAAGTGCACAGGGTCAGGAGACGGCAGAGACTCAGTTTTCAGATGCCTGATGCCCTCTGCTGGAACCCAACATGTTCATTCCGGGGAAGCTACAGTTTGCTCGCACCGGCCAACAAAAATGCTATTCTTGTCGGCTGGCCTTGATGGACATTCTGGTTCATCACATCGATCAGGCATTGCAATATTTCGTCGAGGTACTTGCCATTGCCTAATCTAGCATCAGTGTTTCCTAATAGACCTGCATGATCCTGCAAGTGCGCACAACCGTCCAGCAAGTCAGGCAATACTGCCTTGACGGTTGTATGCCTGTCGGCCCAGGTCGCACGCAAACAACGTCTTGGAGGTTCGAGAGGCTTCTCGGGCCTACAGGGCGAATGCGCCGGTTCCACTCGTAAAGTGGCAGCCGGGAGCTCAGAACACTGGAAGATAACCACATCACCCGGCACCCATGAGATCGTAATCAAAGGAAGAGAGCAACCGCTGTGCAGTAAAAACATGTGGCTCATTTAATGTATAGCATAGTGAAGGCACTGAAGGATTCCACATGTGACGCTTGCTTGACTCAGTATTGCGAGGAGCGAAGCTGTTGAATGGAAGTGTCGTCTGACCACGCCAGAGGTACAAGAGCAGCAATGAAGATTTTTTGCCTGTGTGCTGATCTCAGACGTGGCTACCCACCATGCGAAGTCCTGGTCAAGCGGTGATTTTCCAGCTTGCGATAGTTGCCTCCGCTCTTTCGTGGCCTGATTGAGGCAGATCAGCTGCTGGCCATCCACTACAGCAGTGCCAGCCTCGGTGATACTGCGCTGGTTTGGAGCCGCACGAAGGACTAGATCTAGACTTCGGACCTCGAGATCCAACCCGCTACAAGACTAAAACAAAACCTGGAGCTTCAAAGACTAATCCAAGAGCCTCACTCCAAGCACAAAGTGCACAAAGGATGGCACGCAGATCGTCGTAGAGTTGGAGCTGACCGACACGAGCGTTACGCTCGAGGAGAGCTCCGCCGATTCTTGGGCTCATGCGCCCGAAATGCTTCCTGCCAGGTACTCCCCAGATTATGATAGTTTGATAATGTTACAGTGGAGAAGCACAAGAGTCCTTGAGTGACTTGACGACTTTGGAGAGCTGCTGAGTAGGAGGGTGTAGGGAATGTACTGAGACGCAGTCCTGAGTGGCAGCATTGGCTCGCAGAGCTGTCCGGGACCGTTGGACGATCTCGCTGTGCGGCATGTCGCGCTCCAGATTCGTCATGCCCTGCTGCTGCATGCTCCTAGTTGCAGCGGTGCTTGCATTGGCCGATGCCTTCGTCGTGCCATCTTGGCCACACGCATCCTCGGCGCCCAGCCGCATCAACAAGATCGACAGGGCTGAGCCAATGATTTCGAGCGATGCAGGTGCAGTGTTCATGTCAGTTCTGGCTGGTCTCATCGTGGGAGTGGCCGTGCCGGCCAGCAGCTTTGCTGCGGAGTCGGCAGCGCCGGCAGGCTGGGATGTAGCATGGTTGCAGGCTTGCGATTGCTGAGAGTTCAAGGAGTCGCTGAAGTTTCTTTCGTCTGGCGTCATCAGTTGGTATGGGATGGTAGAGAGGTGATCCGACCGGCACGGGGCTCTTGCGACTTGTATTTCGGCTCGGAACCAACTAACCAACTCTGAATTGAGTGTTGATTTTACGGCAACTTGACAGCAGGCACCGAGAAAGCTGCGAGCACCCCGCAGAGCAGGAAGGAGGCAGGGCGCTCTGTAGGGCTGCCTTTCACCTTTCAGCTTTCATGGTACAGGAGAGTTGTAACAACGAAGAGACGAGTAAATGTTGTTTTGTACACGAGGCAACCTACGCAGAGATGAA